AAACTCAAAGACTCTCCAACCTGAAAATTGTGATTGAAGGAGGTGCGACACTTGGACACACATCCGCACACCCAATCCATGTATACTACTCCATGTAACATTGAACAAGAGGAAGGATGAAATAGCAGTGAAGCCGGTGTACGTTAAGAAATCACAAGAGGAATGGAGTCGCATTCTTCATCAAGTGTTTTATATCAGAAAAGTCTAATGATCAGTAACAAGGTCCAAAAATCCCAACTTTTGCATAAAAATAATGCCTCCTTGATCTTCGGCAAGACCTTGCATTTGAATTAAATGGATTCTGCCCCTTCATAACCTCTAGATATATATTTGAATTCAATGGCAATTGATTCAAATTTAAAGGTGCTCTAATTTTCTTCTCTCTTTTCAAGTAGCAGGTGCTTCATAAATTTAATTGAATTAACATATGATTAGCATCTTCATAGTTAAGTTAACAACAAGAATTAGCCAAACCATGCATTATCAGACCAAAAAATATATAACGTCTAAAGAGTTCTATTTTACATATTTAATGTTCTGAAACTTACTGTGTTGGAAATTCAAAAATCGAAAAACATAGTTAAGAGCCTGACAAAATTTGTCAACAGAAAATAAAGTAAAATAAATTCATAATAACATAGGCTCAACGCTCGTAGTAGATCAAATCAACGGGCATAAAATCTAACTGGGCCAAGTCCGGCACGGCCCGACTGTTCAGAAGGAAGCCCAGTGATCTCCCAGCCCATTCTCTTTCATGCAAGGCGTGTTCTAACCTGGTGGTCAACCCAAGGGAAGGATGAGCCCGTTGAGGAAGGATGAGCCCCATTTTGGCTTAGGGTTTAGAAAGGCCCAAGGAATGGTTAGCGCAAGGAAAGTATTCTATAAAATAGAAGAAGGAGCGTTGAAATGTAACATATTTATTTTCTGAATATAAATCAACATAATGGGGAAAATTACAGAATTTTTATGTTAATTTTAGGATGTATTATCTGAAATATCTGAATCTGAAGTTTACTCCATGGTTGCAGAATCTCATATGGTCATAATATTGTGTGTGAGGCAAAAAAAAAAAAATCGAACCAAAAATTTATCTTTTAAACTTTTAATGTGTTTTCAACATAATTTATGCAGAGTGGATTAAAACATGATCTTTCTATAGATTTGAAATTTTCAAATGGATAAATCATGAATACCTATATTAACTTCATACATCTCAAATCTAACTTCAGAAGAAAATCAGTTACATGAAAAATAAGTCAAAACTATGCAACACCAGATCGGAAATTTAATAATACCTAAAGTTTTTACTGTTTCATGTCATAAGATAATGAAAGGCTTGTCAAATTAAAATATTTTCTCATTTTCAGTTCAAATCTTCTTAAATGTGGATAGCTCACTGAATTAAATCAAACCAAGCAATTCATAGAATTTCATTCCGATTTAAAGATATTGATTTAATTTGAAAAGATTAAAGAAGAATATCATTGTATTAATTTAATTTATTTGTTATTAAGAGTGATATTTTGGAGAATTTAATTTGAAATTGATTCCATTTTAAATTTTAAATTAGTCCAACCAAACACTAAAATGGTTATTATCATTTCATTCCTATGCATTTCATATTTACAACCAAATAATAGAATGAAAATGATTATTCTACTTTATTCCCATTCTCATTTCTTTTTCACTTGCATTCCATTCTATTCTTGTACACCTAACACAACATAATGGTTTTTAGGTGGACGTAAAATATATTTTGAAATTATTTAATTAAGTATAAAGTTAAGTAGGTGGAGGTAAAAATATTTTGAAGTTACTGAATGAGTGATCATTTTGAAATTTAAATTTGCAATTAATTTATTAGAAATTTTTTGAACATTTGGCAGAATAGATGTGTATTGTATGTCTATTACGTGATAGGTGAAATATGGATTGAATATGGATAACCATATTCAACCTATCACCCATATTCAACTCATCTCAACCCTCAAATTAAGTGGTTAAATATTACCCAACTCATTTTTGACCATCTTAAATATGAATCACCCATAACTATTAAAAAACAGACGAATATATACCGATTGTGACCCATTTTGTCACCCCTATCTTGATATTAAGCATATCTTGATATTACTATGATTTTATCCACCAACGCGAGTCAAATTTAATTCATATATCTCTCTATCTACAAAAATAAAAGAAAAAAATAAAACAATATTTGCGCCTTTTCTAGAAGGAAAAACAATCCCGTATATTTTTATAATATAAACTTTAAAAAAAAAAAAAAAAATTACCTTTTTAAGTGCGTCAAACTCATATTAAATCTACTAATATAAAAAATAAGAATCTACTAATATAATTCAATCATATCCATATCGTGTGAAGTAAGTTGTATGAAAGTGTTACTTCCAGTACATAAGGAGAAAGTATTGTTCTTCAAAAAAAAAAAAAAAAAAAAAACAATAGTAAAAATTTAAGTGTATATATAAAAAAATAATACTCTAATAAATAAAAAAACACCAAGAGTTTCTTCAGTTCCATTTTCTTCCTTCCCTTTGAAGTTAAGAATCACAAAAGAAGAGAGAGAATTACCAGCACACTTTCCTTTCTTTTTGTTTCCATATATATCCAAACACAGGAATAAGGTCATTAATATGTTGTCCCGGAATAGTATTTCTGTCTCATACAGAAATTATTAAATAGTCCCATAATGACATAAAACCAAATATATCCGCTTAAGTGATCCAACAAAAATATGATATGCGTTGTAAATATTTTATGATATTAAAAAAATTTTAAAATTTAAATTGACCCCTTTTTAATGGTTTAATGGGTAGACCAAGGCCTTATGCCCCAGTGATTTTTTTTTTTTTTTTTCAAAGTGAACATGAAAGTTCGAATCTCCAAATGAATAAAGTGTGTGAGAGTTTTTTTTGTTAATGATGAAAAATAAAAAATAAAAAATTATTTTGAAGTTTTTATAAAATATATATCAACGTGGCTTGGCTGATCGAATCAACCTCATTCACTTTATTTTTTAATTTCAACATTTAAATATAATAGTTTTGAAGGTAATACATAAAGTTGCTTGATTCGTTTATGATCACAAATGATTTTGGGTCTTAGAGAAACTAACATTGTTCAAAAGTCTCATTTGAAATACATACCTCGTACAATTTTCAAAACATGCAGAAAACTATATTTTTAAAAAATAAATAAAAATAAATTGAACCAAACATGTTCCGAGCGTCCCTCATTTCTATTTTGTGTGATTGAGTAAAATAATAATAATAATAATAATAATAAATAAATAAATTGTCATGTCATGGCCCACCATGTGGGATATTTTCAGAATGTGTTTACATAATTAGAAGTCGCCTACATATATGAGAATCAATAATTTCCAAAATCATCGTTGTGGAACTCAACATCTTCAATAGTCGACACTTGTGTACTTATTGTACACTCTTCCATTTTTGATTGGAGATTGATTCAGATGTCATCTCGCTTTATAGATATTAGGAGTATACATTTTGTACGCCATTCATGTTCCCTATAATTTGTCAACACAAAGATCAAGGTGAGATATGACTTTGGATATTAATTTATGTATATAACTCTTGTAATATCATTTTATTTTATTTCATTCAATAAATATCATTCTTAGTCTATTCTTTCCGGCAATTTTGAACAAACATAAATTCATGGACCTGAAGGAATGCCTAGTCCACATTCTATTCTCTTCCTGCTTTCTCTTCTCTCAGGTAAACAAGAGAAGCTTCTTTCTCTAGAATGTTTGGTGTTGTGCATGTAAATGCTGAATTTTGTGGATTTACCGGTCACTTTTAATTGTGAAAAAAAAAAAAAAAAAAAAAACCACTTTTTATTAGTAAAATATTTGATCAGAATATATATATTTTTTAAATGAAAAGCATTTAAATATTGAATTGTCCAACACTATTTGATCCTCTACATAAGTCAATTATTTAGGTAGAAATGTAGTAGCGCATTTTGAGGCCTCTGCATGAATTTCATGACAAGGCCTCTGCATGAATTTCATTACAAGATACAACAACACTAATATTATTTATTTATTTGTGTTTAATTGTTTAGCTTCTAAGAACACAAATTCATGTCCGTACATAATTATTATTTTTGTCAAGAAATATTGACACAAATACAACACGATTATCAAAAGCTATCACGACTCAATTTGTGTAACCCGCTAAATAAATGGATCAACACCTATCGCAACATAATGAGACACGTTTAATTAAAATTTTATACTTTTAAGGTCAAATTAACACGAATACGACACATTTAGTTATACAGAAATACGATATGCTTATCCAATCTATGTGGCATGCTTATCTTACTCGTTGAACTAAAGAAGTCTAATCAGTCACATACGTATACAAAATATTTAATTAGCGTGCCAATTTTGAATTAATATGATTATGACCTGCATTCAAATCCAATCATCCGTTATCCAAAATATAAATAAAGCAAAATTGGTGAGTGCTATATCAAATTCACGATAAATGCACCTAGTATCTAATTGGATCCATTGTGGACCCATTTTTTTGATTAAATTCTCCAACACGTTTTGGTGGACGATAAAAAGGCCACACACCCTTGGGAATGTTTCAACCTGAACCACAACACATTATAATACACATCCTTAAATTCAAAAGCACCGTCCTTGAACGCTTCTATATATATATATATATAATCCACCTCTGACTTTTTCATTCTTTAACCTATTTAACCACTTACATTCCATTCCATCCAACTCTCACAAGTAACAACACAACACTTCATTTAATTATACAACACATCCTTAAATTCAAAAAGCACTCCTTGAACCCTTCTATGTATAACCCTACTGCACTTTTGAGTTTTGACCTTCGAATACTTTGACTTCTCTCCATGGTCAACCCTTTCATTGATCACCCCATACCCACAAAACATTACTAATATATATATATATATATATAATCCACCTCTGACTTTTCCATTCTTCAACCTATTTAAGCACACTTCAGTTCATTCCATTTCCATCAACTCTCACAACTCACAAGCCATCACTAAATTAAGATATGGTAAAAATGAGTAGTAGCTCATCCCAGAAGAAGTACAAAGGCGTATGTTGCCGGAAATGGGTGTCGGAGATACAAGTTCCGGGCACCAAACACGGCCGCTGGCTCGGCCCCTACACGACGTGTGAGGCGGCCGCAGTGGCCCAGGACTTAGCCTCCTACTGCCTGAGAGGAACCTCTTCGGTGCAAAGGGTTAATTTATCATCAATGGTTTTAACCCTCGTCACTTCTCCTCCACCACCGCCACCACCACCTTCTTCTTCTCCTCCTCCTCCTCTTCCTGCTCTATCCGCACTCAAATGGCTCCCTGAAGATAATCAAGCACCCGAGAACTCCACGAGTACTCGAGTTCTTGAGTCTGAAGATCAATACCTTCAAGGAGTACCCGATAATTCACCACCGGAGAAGGCTCTGGGATTGAACGTGTTGACGAAGAGGCCGGCAAGCCTTGTTGTACCGGCTCCTTATCATCCCGGGGACGATTTTGGTGAAGTAAATAAAAAGTTGGACAATAAGGAATATTTTGAGGTTGAAGGGAGAGACTACTGTTTGGCAAGCAGGAAAGGAAAGAGGAAGGTTATGGAGGATGGTTATGGGGTTATGCTTGATATTTTGGGAGATCCTAAACAGGTATAGACCAATGATTTTTTAAGTTATCAACCTTTTGGATAACATTTTTTTGATAAGTAAGATATATTAGATATTAAAACTTTATTATATATCTTTAAATTGATAGGCATTTTTTGGGGTGATCGATGGGCATGGTGGCTGTGCTGCAGCTGAATATGTTGCTGAAAATTTGGGGAAGAACATTGTGAAAGCACTTGCTGAAGAAGATGAGATAGAAGCAGCAATTCGTGGAGGCTACTTAGTCACAGATAAAGAATTTCTTAGTCAGGTAAACTAAAACTGAACAACAACATTTATTAGAAATTCATTTATCCATAATCAAATTCTCTAAGTTTATCCATAATCAAATTCTCTAAGTTGTTACACATGGAATACTATTTTTCCATTGATTCACACACACACACACAAGGCACCATCCTACATTAGTTGAATTTGAATGCTAATGATTTTTGTTTTGTGGAATACTCACTGCAGGGTGTAAGTAGTGGAGCTTGTGTAGCTAGTGTACTATTGAAGGATGGAGAATTACATGTAGCGAATGCAGGAGATTGTAGAGTAGTTTTGAGTAAGAAAGGAATAGCTGATGCATTGACAAGCGATCACCGTCTTAGTAGGGAAGATGAGCGCTTCCGAATAGAAAACTCCGTAAGCCTTTTTATCTAAAAGAAAACTATCGACAACATGTATTTGGTGCCCTCAAATTACAAATACTTCATGTAACTTGACATTTTTGCATTGATAGTTGAGTTCTAGTATAATCGTAATTTGAGGGCTAGGTTTCCCTATATAAGTCCTTTTTTCTACCTCTAGCTTGTTGTTGGTTTTTAATGGAATTTAACTAACTATAGAATTGCAGGGCGGCTATGTGCATTGCAGAAATGGAGTTTGGAGAGTTAACGGATCACTCGCGGTTTCTAGAGCTGTTGGTGATCTGCATCTGAAAGAATGGATCATTTCTGAACCAGAGATTAAGAAGCTTCCTTTAACCTCTGATAGCGAGTTTTTGATAATGGCTTCTGATGGATTGTGGGATAAGGTACACAATTAGACCTAAAAGAATTTGCCACTCCTTGGATTCAAGTCTTCTTAGAAATGCATAACCTATAAGTTAATTTTCGTTGGGTGCAGGTAAATGACCAGGAGGCAGTTGATGTAGTAATAAGGGAGAGAGATTCACTAAAATCTTGCAGAAAGCTTGTAGATTTATCTTCTAGCAGAGGCAACATGGACGACATAACTGTCATGGTGATCAACCTTCAAAAGTTCATCATTAATCAATGCAGTAGCCGATAAGGAATAGGTTTCAAACACAAAGTTCCTCCATTATATCCCTCTTTAAACAAGGTGTACTCAGTTCATGGAAAAATTTGTAAACATGCGGTGCCATTGACTAGGGATGTTGATCTTTGGACTCCATTTTGGAGATATTATTCTTAGGGTTAAACTTTTGTATATGTCTCAGTAGATCAAATTTGATTAATTTTTTCTTATACTGTTGATGTTGTAAGAAATATTTTGCGAGGGAGAGAGAGGATTACTCATCTTAGACAAATTTATTAGGGTTCTTTATCAACTTTTTCCAATTGGATTCAGATATTTCCCAATTCAATCTGATAAATGATTTTAAATTTGTGAAGTTAAAGTATATTATCAAAACCAAAATGAGTGTAAAATATATTGTCAGAGATGTTTATGACATTCTCTTCTTTCCTCTCGTTATTCCAAAAACCAAAACGAGTGTAAAAATGCAGAGTTAAAGAATTATGTACATTATATAATTGAATTCAGCATCAGTATCAAAAGAAGAATTATTCAAGGAAGACAAATGCCCAGATGATAAAAAGTTTACTTGACTGTCAAGTTTAAGAAAAGGGGAGAGAGAAAGAGAAAAGAGAGAGGAGAGAGGAGAGAGGAGAGAGGAGAGAGGAGAGAGGAGGGAGACAATAAATAAATAAAGGGGCTGAATGGGCCAGCTGCATGACCCGAAAATATTCTGGTCCGGGTTATTGACAGAGTCTAATTTTTATTGATATTGGGCCGGCCTAACCCAAACTAACTTCGGGTTGAGATAAAGTTGGGACCAAGCTGGATTGGGCCTGCCCAATCCAGCCCTACTTTGAGTTGAGATAATGTTGGGACCGGACTGAATTGGGCCTGCTCAACTTACAGCCATAAGTGTAATTGGATTTTCTCTAAAATTAGACACATTACTTCTGTTTGACCCATCGTCTGCAAAGCATACTATCGATTCTATAGTTTTATTTAGATCTTTCACTCATTTCATTTTCTTCTTATATGTGGGATTCATTCTAATGTTATCAATCAAGATTAGATTTTTTTAAACTTATGTTGCATAATTGTTGTTTGATATATAAATATACATATATATACAACTGTACTATTGTTAACTAAGATTTTCTGTAGTAATACGTGTACAATTTTGTGTGGGCACACGCACTTTTTTCCTTATATTGAACAAAGAAGGGATTATCTTTTAGTATTTCACTAATTATCTGTTATACAGATATAATAGTTCACTAACTCAAGGTAATTGGAGTTTCTTTAAATAAATAAAGTAACATTTATTACTTTGGTTTTATTAGTATATTTTCACAAATTATTATTTTTATTTTTTTTGCCCAAACAAAAGTTCACAAATTACGAGTATATACATTTTGATCCCTTCCAAGAGCCAAGTTAGTAATTCTAAAAGCCACGTTAGCAATTTTCACTCTCCAAAAATATGCACTAGGTCACGCTCTCCAAATTTTCGCTCTAAAAAAAAAAAAAAAAAAATTAATTAAATTAAATTTTTAAAAACTTTTTTCTAGCGGTTATATTTTTAACAGATATATTCCTAACGACTATATTTTTCATCTTATATAATAAATACCCATTTGCTCATCTGAAAAAGTTTTTAAAATTTGATTTTTTAAATTTTTTTTTTTTTAAATTGTAGTCGTTAAAGCACTATTTGTATAAGCCGAATAATCCTTAATGGCCAAATGCACTATTTGTGGCAGAAATTTTAAATTTAAAGTAAAAAATATTTTTGTTAATGTATTTTTGGCCCAAAAAAAAAAAAAAATTGGAGAAAGAGTGTCTAAACAATATATTTTTTATTTAATGAATTTTATTTTTATAAAAAAACTTCAAATAAACTATTTTTGGGTTTTTCCAAAAAAAACAAACCACCAACAGGCCAGTGACCTAGTGGTATCAACCTCTTACTTTCCAAGGGAAGTCAGGGGTTCAAGTTTTAGAAAAGATGTATGTATGAAAAAAAAAAAAAATCCGCTTAGGCTCCAGCTCACGGTATTCTGCGGATTGGGGTAAAAATATTTTGAAGTTTATTGAATGAGTGATAAAATTAATAGCACAAAATTTTCTTCAACTAAAAAAAAAATAATAATAATGTTATACTATACCTTTTGAAATTCAAATTTGCAATTAATTTATAAACATTTGACATAATTTTATTGGATGGATAGATATAAAGTGAGAGTGTGAGAGTAAAACGTAGAAGCATATCCTGATATTATTAGGATTTTATCCATTAACGCGAGTCAAATTTAATTCATATATCTCTATCTACAAAAATAACAGAAAAAATAAAACAATATTTGCGGCCTTTAATAGAAGGAAAAACATTCTCCTTACAACAAATATATCAACAAATATATAAAGATATCATTAAATCATGTATATTTTTATAATATAAAAATTAAAATATATATATATATATTTTTTTAAGTACGTCAAACATATATAAAATCTACTAATGTAGATACATAAAGAGAAAAATAAAATAAAAATTTACTAATATAATTCAATTATATCATGTCACATATAAAAAGTGTTACTCCTGTACACATGGGAGAAGTATTGTTCTTCAAAGTGAAAATTTAGGTATATAAAAAAATAAATAATAAATAATTACCAGCACACTTTTCTTTCTTTTTGTTTTAATATTATAGTAATTCTGTCTCGTAGAGAAATTATTAGATAGTCCCATAATGACATGTAACCAAATATATCAACTCAAGTAACTCAACAAAAATATGAGATGTGTCATAAACATCTTATGATATTAAAAACTTTCAAATAATTAAATTGACCCATTTTTAATGGGTTAACAGTTAGACCAAGGGTCTTGTGCCCCAACGTTATTTTTTTTTACTTTTCAAAATAGATAATGATGGTTTAAATCTTCAAAAGAGTAAAGTGTGTGAATTTTTTGTCAATGACAAAAAAAACAAAAAATCCATTTTGAAATCTTTATAAAATATATATCAACAAGCTGACCGAATCAACCTCATTCACTATATTTTTTAATTTCAACATTTAAATGTAGTAGTTCGAGGGTAATACTTGAAATTACTTGTTGATTCTTATATGTATAGACGCATTCTGAAAGGTCTCATTTGAAATACATACCTCGTACATAGTCATTAGTTTTTTCAAAACTTTCAGAAAACTATATTTTTTTTAAATAAATAAAAATAAATTGAACCAAACATGTTTTGAGCATCCCTCTTTTCTATTTTGTGTGATTGAGTGAAATAAAAAAAGAAAAATAAATTTTGTCATGTCATGACCCACCCTATTATGAAAATATTTTCAGAATGCGTCTACACACTTAAATAATCAACAATTTCCAAAACCGTCATTTTTAGAAGTCGTCCAAACATATGAAAATCAACAATTTCCAAAACCGTCATTGTGAGACTCAACATCCTCAATAATCGGCACTCGTGTGAGATTAACTCAGATATCATCTCCGCTTTATAAATATTATATATTTTGTACACTATTCATGTTCACTATAATTTGTCAACACAAAAAGCAAGGTGAGATATGACTTTGGATATTAATTTATCAATATAACTCTTATACCAATGAGAGTTATAATTTCATTTTATTTTATTTTATTCAATAAATATCATTCTTAGGCTATTCTTTCTGGGCAATTTTGAACAAACATAAATTCATGAACTTGAAGGAATGCCTAGTCCACTTTGTATTCCTTTCCTTCTTTCTCTTCTCTCAAGTAAACAAGAGAAGCATTTTTCTCTAGAATGTTTGGCGTTCCGCATGTAAAATTGTAAATGCTGAATTTTGTGGATTTAACAGTCACATTTAATTGTGAAATAAAAAATAAATAAATAAAATAACTTTTTATTAGTAAAATATTTGATCAGAATATTTTTAAAAATGAAAAGCATAATATTGAATTGTCCAACACCATTTGATCCTCTACATAAGTCAATTATTTAGGTAGTAATGTAGAAGCACATTTTGAGGCCTCTGCATGAAATTCATTACAAGATACAGCAACACTAATATTATTTATTTCTGTTTAATTATTTAGCTTCTAATAACACTACGTACATAATTAACGTTTTTGTTAAGAAACATTGACACAAATATAACGTGATTAACAAAAGCTACCACGACTCAATTCGTGTAACCTGCTAAATAAATGAGTCAAGGCCTATCACAACACAATGAGACACGTTCAGGGGCAGAGTCAAAATCTGAAAGTAAGGGGGACTAAAAAAAAATTCAAACAGAGAAGATAATAATGATAACAACAATAATATCGATGAACATTTAAATAATGGTAAATCGAGGCAGCATATGAAAAATCCCTAATTACAATTAAGTTCAGTTAATGACTCAGGTTTGATGTAAAACACCAGAATCAATACGGTGTCCGAGTCTGCACTGGTGAATTTGAATTGGGTACAATAGACATGTATCAATAAATCAAATGTCCGCTAAGAGCAAATTCGAACACCGTATTAAAATTCACCAGTGCAATGGCTATCTCAAGATGCCTATTTTTGGTGTCATTAAACAAAACTGGAAACTTCAAATCAATTAATCGAATCAAAAGCAAGAGCGGCATCATCAAGTTTTGAACCAATAAGCAAACGAATGAAAATGCAATAAGATCTAACAGTGAATCTAAACCCATAAGAATCAAAAGCAAAATGAAAGAAACTCAAAACAGTTTTTGGGTAAGAGAACGAATTGGAAAGGAGACAAATGGGCTATAATATCTTTACATTTAGAAGAATCTAGAAATGGATTCCTAGAGTATGTCTTTGTTTCAAATTAAAATTCGTCCATGTGTTAGTCTATAATGATTGGTCCAGCCTAATGGGTTTAAATCCTATATCAGTAGAAAGATCTCCCTCTCTAGATCACTCATCATTCACAAGGGAACCTTTAATGCACATCACGAAGCTCTTAAAATTGAGCTCAAAGGAAGCAACAATGGTAAAGGAAAACTGCCGAAGGAGGAATAAAAGAGGAGAAAGAAATGCTGTAATTATCAAGGTGTAATGTCACTTGTATGCAATGATCTGTCAAATACAAGCAAAATATGTAGCCAAGTGTAGGTGTATGTGTCAAGTGTAGAAGTGGTCAAATGTGTGACCATGCAATTGGACTAAAATGCCCTCTTCACACCACTAAATCACCTCTATACCTTGACCACAGTAAAAGACCATACCGCCCTCAAGAAATGAAACAATGACATACAACACAACCAATTACATTAAAATAATAATAATAATAATAACAACGTGAAATCCGGCAATAAAATAAACAAATGCATGAGTGGGAAAAATACTAGGAAAATCAGGAAAATGAAAGACAGCACAAGATTTTACTGTGTTTTCAACCTCATTTATGCTAAGTCGATTAAAAATATAATCCTCCAATAGATTCACAATTTTAAAAATGAAATACATGCTTAGTTGAAATTAAGTTCACATCTCAGATCGAATTTCCGAAGAAAGATTCAAAAATCAGTTATATGAAAAACAACTTGACCAAAACTATTCATCACCCAATCAAAATTTTGATAATAGCTTAAATTTTTTACTTTTAATGTAACATGATGAAAGGATTGCCAAATAAAAATATTTTCTCACTTTCAGGTCATCTTCTTAAATGTGAATATCTTACAAAATCAACCAGTGAAATAAATCACTGGACCAGAGGTATTAAAGAGATTCGAATCAAAAGAAAACGGTAGATTGTAGAGTGAGAAATAGAAATGGAACCTAGGTTAAGCCAACTAGAGAACATGAAAAGATTGAAAATACCAGATACCAGAATTTGAATCGTTTGAATAATCTTGATAGCGCTGAATCTCTGTAACTACGTCTCAAATTCGCCATTTTCGAGAGCTTCTTACTTCTTAACAATCACACACATAGATCGAGTAGAGAGAGAAGGCGCAAAAATTGTTGCGTGTAGTTTCAAATTTATCGTCAAAAAAAAACCGCAAAGATTTTTTTTTCCCGAAAAAAAAGGTTCGCAAATTATATAAATTTTGACCCCTAAACAACTGAAATTTTACAAATATGACTAACAAGAAAATAATGATAACCTAACTAAAAATATTTTAAAATTATTGAATGAGAGTAAAGTTAATTGCACAAAATTTTTTTGAACTACAAAAAAATTTATACTGCACTTTTTGAAATTAAAATTTGTAATTAATTTATTATCCTTCTAGGTTTGCCTCCTACACTCTTGTCATTTTTTACTCTCTCACTTTTAATTTATCCATCCAATAAATTAATTGAAAATTTATTAGCAGTCAAATTTAATTCATATATTTCTATCCAACAACAAAAAAACATAGAACAATATTTTATGCCTTATTTTATAAGGAAAAACATTCTTCTTACAATGGATATATATGTCATGATATTATTGAATCAAGTATCTTTTTATAATATAAAAATATAAATAAATATGAAAGAAAAATAGCTTACTTTAGGTGGGTCAATTTGATATCAAATCTACTCGCAAAATATATATATATATATATATATATATATATATATATACCATGTGAGCTTATCAGTTACAAATTAATATTGTATTTTTTAAAGAACAATATAGGAGAAACTAATTATTCCTTACAATTTACGTTGAATTATATTAGTAATATAATTCAACGTTAATTTCTCTAATAACTTGGCGGGAAGAGTGATACGCAACTTTTTTTTACTATAATGCAACACTGGTGTATACTAGCTTTTGTGGTAATATTTGAAGTTGGCTTATTGTCACGGGCCTAGAGATTTGGCGCAGCGGTACGGTCCGTGCGGCACCAAGGCGTTGCTTCAGCTCGCGCAAGCGCCCTGGTCAGCCACCACGACCTGCCCTCCCAATGATACATGCTGACTGGTTTCGGCCTGCCATGGCCTCGTTAGGGGAACGGTTCCAGCTCCCGACCAGTTTATGCAGGGATGGCCAACTCCCTTCTTCATAGTTAAGTCCACGACCAGCGACAAGCACCTCGAACTGAACCGAGTCGGCCTGCCTGAACTCTGAAGAGGTACCATCCTGTGGTCCTGCACGCCCCTTCCCTGGAACCATTCCCAGTCAATGAATGTTCTTAGCCAACCAGCATGCGTATCTTCTATGCTCATGGCGTCGTTAGGAATCAGATCGTGACATTCTCCCCCACCCAAATCCTGCGACGCCCTCGTCGCAGTGCGACGCTGACTCCGCTGCGTCCAACATTCCAAAGTCTTTCTCCTCCAAGTGGTATGCTCGTCTGCCCACCATCGCTTCCTTGTACAACCCCAGGCTGCACTCGCCCAATGATAGGGTTTCGGGCTAAAGGGACGCCCACTTCTTCGGGACGCAACCCCACGTTATGTCGCCTGATACCATTTGTCATGGGCCTAGAGATTTGGCGCAGCGGCACGGCCCGTGCGGCACCAAAGACTTTGCTTCAGCTCGCGCAAGCGCCCTGGTCAGCCACCACGACCTGCCCTCCCAAGAATACATGCTGACTGGTTTCGGCCTGCCATGGCCTCGTCAGGGGAACGGCTCCAGCTCCCGACCAGTTTGTGCAGGGATGGCCAACTCCCTTCTTCATAGTCAAGTCCACGACCAGCGACAAGTACCTCGAACTGAACCGAGTCGACCTGCCTGAACTCTGAAGAGGTACCATCCTGTGGTCCTGCACGCCCTTTCCCTGGAACCATTCCCAGTCAATGAATATTCTTAGCCAACCAGCATGCGTATCTTCTATGCTCATGACGTCGTTAGGAATGGAATCGTGACATTATGATCACAAATGGTTTGAGTGTAGGAGAAACTAACACTGTTCCAAGGCCATTAGTTTTTCAGAGCAGAAAACTTCCCTCATTTTATTTTTTATTTATTATTATTTTTTTTTTTTGAATTAAAGAAAAGAGAAAAAAAAAAATGTCTTGTCACCACCTATCTAGTTGTATAGACATATTGTTCGGCGTACTTTTTATGTTTATGATTTTTAAAACACGACTGTACAATTTGAAAGAAGCCACAAATATAAGTATCACCTCTAAAATGGATTGTTGCAAGACTCATCTTCCTCAGTGGTCTGACGCTAAGGAGCTTATGCACGTTTTCTTATTTTTAGTCAAAGATTAGTTATGATATCATATTCTATTTTGTAAATATTGTTAATTTTACACACCCTTTGTACACATGATTTTTAAATCTTTTAAGGAAACGTATATGCACAAGAAGTCAAAAAAAAAAAAAAGGAGGTAACATAAGATTACAAGAGTTATAATATCATTTTATTTTATTTTATTCAACAAATATCATTCTTATGTACCACAAATTTGATGGCATCTAAAATTGCGCCCGCATGTAAATGCTGAATTTGAACTTAACAGTCAATTTTAATTGTGACACAAAAATAATATATATATATATATATATATATATATATATAATCCTCTTTTTATTACTTTAGTAAATTTTTGGACCATTTAGACAAAGTTAAAATTAAAACCACAATAAATGCTCGTTGTATCTAGTTGGATCCATAGTGGAGTGTGTTTTTTTTTTTTTTTTTTTTAAATTAAACTCTCCAGCAACTTTTGGTGACATTAAAAGGCCACACGCCCTTTGCAATCCCTCAAGGCCTTAAATATTCTCTGCTTGTAATCCTTAATAATGATGAATCGAGTTTGATTCTAATTTTCATGAAATTGTAACAATTAGTTTGATTGTAATTTATTATGTGAATTAAACAAACCAACCAGTCTATGCCATCTAATTGCGTATAATACCCAAGACATTGTGTCATTTGTTTAAAATAATAATAATAATAATAATGCATCGGGTTAGATGTGAGTTGACTCGCTTATTTAACACTCAATTCGTTTATGACCCGCCATCAATTAAGGGATTGATGCATCTTTTTCGTTGAGGTGGTTACGGCAGTAAGCCAAAGGGGTTGGTGCATCTTTTTCGTTGAGGTGGTTAGGCAGTTTCGAAACCGCAAAGATTGCCTGAACTTGGACAAAATCTAGAAGAGGATCACTTGGAGGACTCATATCAAATGGACAGTCCCTTTTTAAGATTAACCATCTTCATTCAAGAGTGTGAATAAAAGAAAAAGGAAAGCCACTACAATTGGTCCGGCCAATTACCATTGAACACGTAAACAAAATATTTGAAGAGAAAAAATAAAAAATAAATAAATAAATAATAATAATACCGTTTATTATTCATTGACCCGTACATCTATGACCCGCCCAATTCCACCCCCTCACATCCTTAAATTCAAAAGGCACCGTCCTTGGCTCATCCTATTTACACCGTCCTTTAATTTTGAGCTTTGACCGTTGAATATTTTGACTTCTCTCCATGGTCAAACCTTCCAATTGATCACCCCATAGCCACAAAACATTAAATATTACCACCTCTGACTTTCTCATTCTTCAACCTATTTATAACACCACTTCTTGCCCATTTCCAAATTCCAACTCTCACAGGTTACAAGCCATCAATTAAACATATTGCCAAAAATTCAAAATGAGTAGCTCAGATGAATGTGGTGGTGGTGCAATTACAAGCTCCTCCCAGAAGAAGTACAATGGCCGCGTAAGATGCCGGAAATGGGCGTCGGAGATACGAGTTCTGGGCACCAGAGACCGCCTCTGGCCCGGCTCCTACTCAACGTGTGAGGCGGCCGCGGTGGCTCGCCACATAGCCTCCGACTGTCTGAGAGGATCCTCATCGGTACAAAGACTTTTATGGAGTTTTCCAATAGTCTCTCTTGTTATATACTTGCTACAAGGCCTTAAAAAGACCATTCATTCCATGCCTTTAACCCTCATGACTTCCTCCCCAACACCACCATCTTCATCTCCTCCAACTCCTCTATCTCGGCTCAAATGGCTTTCTGAAGATGATCAAGTGCTCAAGAACTCCAAGAGGCAAATTCTCGAGTCTGAAGAATACTCACAAGGGAATTGTGGCGTTTTGATAGCAAAAGGACCGGATCATTCACCACCGGAGAAGGTTATGGGGTTGAACACATTGAGGAAGAGGCCGGCAAGGCTTGTTGTACCGGCTCCTTATCATCCCGGGGATGATTTTGGTGAAGTAAATAAAAAGTTGGACAATAAGGAATATTTTGAGGTTGAAGGGAGAGACTACTGTTTGGCAAGCAAGAAAGGAAAGAGGGAGGTTATGGAAGATGGGTATGGGGCTATGCTTGATATTTTGGGAGATCCGAAACAGGTATATACCAAGTATTTTTAAAGTTATTGACCTTTTGGATAACATTTTGAGAGAGCTTATAATGCATTCCAACACTGAGTTATAAGTACTTTCAAAATGTTAACCATTATTGAGCATTTATATATCTCAATTATGATGTGAAATTAATTTGTTCTTTGGAATTTTAGAAATTATTCTAGGTAATTAATGCATGTAGTATAATCTTTGAGATATATTAGATTTTTTTTTTTTTCGATAAGTAAGATGTATTAGATATTAAAACTTTATTATATATCTTTAAATTGATAGGCATTTTTTGGGGTGATCGATGGGCATGGTGGCTGTGCTGCAGCTGAATATGTTGCTGAAAATTTGGGGAAGAACATTGTGAAAGCACTTGAAGAAGAAGATGAGTTAGAAGCAGCAATACGCGGAGGCTACTTGGTCACGGATCAGGAATTTCTTAGTCAGGTAAATCAAAACTGCACAGCAACATTTACTAGAAATTATGTTGCGCACACATGTACATGAACACGCGTTCGCGCACACACGCATGCAGACAGAAGGGCACCATCCTACAAATTCCTAAGCGGGGACTATATGATTATATATCATGATGGCTTCCATTAATCAACTCGGATGCTAATGTTTTTTGTTTTGTTGAACACGCAATATAGGGTGTAAGTAGCGGAGCTTGTGCTGCTAGTGTACTATTGAAGGATGGAGAATTACATGTAGCAAATGCAGGAGATTGTAGAGTAGTTTTGAGTAAGAAAGGGACGGCAAATGCATTGACAAGCAATCACCGTCTTAGTAGTAGGGAAGATGAGCGTTTCCGAATAGAAAACTCTGTAAGCTTTTTATCTAATGTTAATCAGTTTATCAACGAAAAAACTATCTAGAACATGTATTTAGAGCCCTCGAATTACAGTTATACAAAAACTCAACTACAAATACTTTGTATAACTTGACATTTTTTGCATTGATGGTCGAGTTCTCGTATAATTGTTGTAATTTGAGGGGCATAAATGCATGTTTGAATAGCTAGGTTCCCCTATATAAGTCCTTTCTCCTTTAAATGGAATTTAACTAACTATAGAATTGCAGGGTGGATATGTGCATTGCAGAAATGGAGTTTGGAGAGTTAATGGATCACTCGCAGTTTCTAGAGCTGTTGGTGACCTGCATCTGAAAGAATGGATCATTTCTGAACCAGAGATTAAAAAGCTTCCTTTAACTTCGGATTGTGAGTTTCTGATTATGGCTTCTGATGGACTGTGGGATAAGGTACAGAACTAAGACTAGTTGATTTTATTTGGAAGAAAAACTAGTAAGGAATTTAGGTGAAAAACAGGTTTCGAACAGAATGTGATTGCAGACACCTAAACCTTTTTTTTTTTTTTTTTGGTCCGGAGCAGGTAAATGACCAGGAGGCAGTCGATGTAGTACTAAAAGACCGAAATTCACTAAAATCTTGCAGAAATCTTGTAGATTTATCTTCTAGCAGAGGCAACATTGACGACATAACTGTCATGGTGATCAACCTTCAAAAGTTCGTCGTTAATCAAAGCAATAGCCAATAAGGAATAGGATTCAAACACGAAGTTGCTCCATTATATCCCTCTTTAAACAAGGCGTACTCAGTTCAAGGAAGAAGAAAGATGGGTGATTAACAGAGCCATGGGGACGATCCCTTTGAGATAAATTTGTATACATGCAGTGACATAGATTAGTGATGATGATTTTTGGACTCCATTTTGGAGATATCATTCATAGGGATAAACTTTTGTTTATCTTCAGTAGATCAAATTTGATTATTTTTTTCTTATACAAACTAGAGGATTACTAATCTTAAACAAATTTATTAGTGTTCTTAATCAACTTTTTCCAATTGGATTCAGATATTTCCCCTTTCAATTTGTGACATGAAAATATATTATCGGAACCAAAATGAGTGTAAAAACATCTAATCGAATTCAGCATCAGTATCAAAAACAAAATTATTCAAGGAAGACAAATTCCAAGATGTTAAAAGTGTACATGAGCTGTCAAGTTTGTTTGAGACTTATCTTCTGTCAATTGATTTTGGGACCGAGGTACAACTTTTGATCTCTGAAGAACCTCGTAATCATCTCTGCTTTTTCAGCTGAGAGGTCTGTATTTTCCAAAATGAATTCCTTTGATGCCTTCGCTATTGCTTCTATTGAACCAATGGCTTGATTGAGCTGAAAAGGTTACAGGTTTAGCAAGTTATCAACTTCTTGAGAGAGAAGAATATCTCTATGAAATATAACCTCAAGCTTTCTCTTGTTTTCAGAAAATGAGTATGGATCTAGGAAATTATTAGACTTTGAAACAATTTGGAAGTCAGAAATAAGCTATATATCATGAAAACAAGTCGGGGATTATGACAATATTCAATAAGAATCGCGCATTTAAAAGCGATTTTCACTTTGTTTTTCTTCTAGAGAAAGTGGGGAATCATTGATAGAAAGCATAACATGGTGCCTCTCCCAACTCATGCCTACACAGGGGTTGGAGACATTATCATTCTAAATAAATCAGAAAATATTGATAATTTAAAACTTTCTTTGTGACTGAAACATTCATAAGCAGTAGCAGATTAATGAATCATAAGTCATACAGAATATGTACCCTTTAGTACAGAGTCGCATATAACTTGGCAGTTCTACAAAATCCAACAGAATTTTATTTGCGAAATTGATTAGGACATTAAACACAGACGTGCATGAATCCTTCAAAAAGTGGGAGGGAGAGAAGGAAGAATACAAACAGGGTTTTACATAGGGATTAATTTTATTACCGAGTTTGCATCATGGTTATCAATGCCAGGTATGGACGTGACCACCCTGAGATAAACGTCCATTACTTGCACCGACTTCTCTCTCTTTGCGAGTAACAAGACAACAAAATTTAGGTGCATCAAGAAAAGAAAGTGAAAAAAAAAGAAGGGGGGGGGGGGGGGGGAAGAAAAATTAAACAGTTGGTTATAGAAGAACAAGTCCAAAACCAACTTACCTCGGCCTTCAATTTGGATTTTGCATCCTGCTGCTTGCATACTGCAATATAGGCTATTAGAAGACTTACAGGAGAGGGCTTATTATAACAAGCTAAAGGAAATAATGTCTAACCCCCACGAGCATGTGCTATCTTCACAGTCTTCTCAAAACCCATCTCTAAGTCTTGAACTGGCACAAATGTTGGCCTGCCAAGCTCCATCCCAAATCTTCACCAAAAGCCCAAACGTTATTATGAAGAAACCAATTTGCGCATAAGCCTCACAAATAAATGAACTCACTTGAAATAAGAGCGAACAAAGGAATCATTTTGCTCCTTTGTTGGGAGGGTAACAACTACGTAGAAATGTGCAAATTGTGCCTTCAGTTTCTGAACTCTGTATCAAACAGATAACATCAAATATAACACAAATCAACAGGTCAATGACAAAAAACAGTAATGAACTACCTGCCAAAGATAGGGGAGACATTGTTGCAATCCCAATTTGTCACAAAAATGAATGCCACTGACACACCCCCGGTGTTGAAAATGAAATCCTATAAAATAGAACTTTTCAGAGTTGATTGATAAACCACCCTTAAAATAAAGAGACTTAGAGACATAAGGAAAATATTTACAGGAGCAACTGGGACAAAGTTGAGCCGGAAAGAATTTGCACTAAGGAAGGAGGTGATAAAGTTGATGAAGGATGGGTGTTGTTCATCTTTCCAAGTGTTCCTCATCATACAAATCCCAATACCACCTGCAGTAATTGATAAAATATTTACTTAATGAGATGAAGAGGGAAACAACATGATTGACCTTGGCCAGCATTTGATGCAGCTCCAAGCTAGTGTTGATTAAGAAGTTTATAGACCATGTAAACAATATCTACATCAAAATTCTGAGTACCAGGATTATAACAAATATCTACAGCATCAAAAGTGAAGCACATATGCCAAAAAGAAAATGCAAAGAACGTCAAGGTTACATATCAGACACATAATAAATCAACTCTACTTTCAAGAAATCTGCTGATAAAAAATAAAAATAAAATTAATAGATTTCTATAAAAAATAAATAAATAAAATAAAATAAAATAAAATAAACACAGCAATTCTTTGAGTTTCCTATGACCAGAACAACAATCATCATCAATGACACATAACTTTCCAAAGATGTATATTAATAACATAATAAATAGTTGAAAAGAACTCACAATATTTGCACATCTAAATAGCTAGATACAATTAAAGAAGCCGTTGCACATATTTTTAGATCAGCTTAGTGAAATAAATTTAATTTAAATTCTAAATATTTTAAGCTAACACGCTAATTCAAGGAAAACAAGGTAATTCTAGCTGATTACAAACTATAAGTTCTGCAATACCAACGGAGTTCTTTGGATGCAAAACTGAAAGTTCTTGCTCTGCATACCCTATCCAACTTTCGGAAACATTTCAAGTCAAATTCCTTATCCTAAAAATTGTGATTGAAGGAGGTGCGACACTTGAACACATATCCACATACCCGGACATACCCAATCCATGTACACTAGTCCATGTAACCTTAACAAGAGGAAGAATGAAATAGCAGTGAAGCCTGTGTTAAGAAATCACAAGAGGATGAAATACGAACAAAACTGGTGTTAAGAAATCACAAAAGAAATGGAGTTTCATCCTTCATCAAGTGTTATATAGAGAAAAGTCTAACTATCAGTAACAAGGAGGGAAGCACAAAAATCCAAGAATCCCTACTTTTTCATTAAACTAATGCATCCTTGATCTTCGGCAAAACCTTACATTCGGCGCTTATTTAACAAAGCTTATGAATGTTTCTGCCTTCATCCCTATCATGGGAAGATTTTGGACTGAAAACTGAGGAAGAAACATTAAGTGTCCCCTGAAAAACTTGGAGAATGAGTTTATATCAAATATGGGCTTCCATCTTGCAGTCATATGATACCTTCCTAAAAGATCACAAATCTGAGGAATGACGATAATAAAGTTTACCAAGTAAAATTCTTTTCTATATGAAAATTAAATTGATTCTGCCTCTTCATAACCTCTAAATATATATATATATATATATATATATATATATATATATATATATATATATATATTTGAATTAAATGGCCAGAAGTAAGTTGTTGTCACTAACTTATTTAAGCACCTTAAAGTGATTTTTTATTCAAATTTAAAGGCGCTCAAATTTTCTTCTCTCTTTTCAAGTAAGAGGTGAAAAAAATTATAGGATTTCCAAACCATGCATTATCACACCAAAAAAACCTAAAAAGTCTAAAGAGCCCCATTTGACATATTTAATGTTCTAAAACTTACCGTTTTGATAATTCAAAATGGACGCCCGAACCGAACCCGAGCCCAAGATCGGCCCCTTGTGGATTCTTTGTAGATCCTTCAGTTATTTTTGTTTATGTTTTTTAGTGGGTAGTGTGGTCTCAATTATTTTTAGTGCCTAATGGTATAAATAGTTTGATTTGGTCAAGAATTGCGTCTTTGGACACATCTTCAAAGACATCCAGCGATGCATACCTATTTCTCATGATATAATTGATTGATGTACTAAAAACCAACCAAAGATTTAAGTCTACCAAAGACTAAAAGTTTTATATTCATATTTCTAATTTATATTATCTTTCAAAAATACAACACTTTCATGTCACATTTTTGCAAAATATGATTTTGAGGGACCCTTGACACCAAGACTATATTGTGAGGGTTTCAAATTGACACGCCCTGTAAAAATGATGATACTCTTCAGCAGTGATTGAATGAGAATGGATAAGAGACTCGTTAAAATTGATGTGAGGGGGGACATGAATGGCTAAATTTTTGGGAGCGAACTCCGGACCAATGTGGAGCCTATGAATGCAAGTTATGTCTTAAAATGAAAGACAATTCCGAATTCACTTTGTATACGAACAAATTTATTAAATTATTATAATACCCTTGTCACTTTCCTATCTCCGTTTAATCAACTTACACAGACATGGACACAAAAACTGTTGGATTTTTAATTTCTAGTAAGGAAACAGCTAAGAAAGCTGAGATAAAGTGACTAAAAGTCACAAAAATAAATGCCCTAATCAATATTTAAATTATATTATAGTCTCTCTACATTTGATTGAATGAGAATGGATAAGAGACTCGTTAAAATTGATGTGAGGGGGGACATGAATGGCTAAATTTTTGGGAGCGAACTCCGGACCAATGTGGAGCCTATGAATGCAAGTTATGTCTTAAAATGAAAGACAATTCCGAATTCACTTTGTATACGAACAAATTTATTAAATTATTATAATACCCTTGTCACTTTCCTATCTCCGTTTAATCAACTTACACAGACATGGACACAAAAACTGTTGGATTTTTAATTTCTAGTAAGGAAACAGCTAAGAAAGCTGAGATAAAGTGACTAAAAGTCACAAAAATAAATGCCCTAATCAATATTTAAATTATATTATAGTCTCTCTACATTTGATTGAAGAAAAGAAAGTAGAAGCACACAATACAAAAGCTAGGTAGAAAAGTTCAAAGATGGTCGTCGAATTTGACCCACGTTGAGAAACTGAATAACAGATAATGGTTAAGAAACTGCCCAAATTCAACAGGAAAATATATATATATACAAAAGAAAAACAAAAAAAGCCATTTGGTAAGAATTCACAAGTATAGAACTCCACACTTGTCGTAGATCAAATCAACAGATTGCAAAGGCTATCAGAACTTTTATGTTAATTTTAAAGGAAGTTTTATGTAAAATCTCTGAATCTGAAGTTTACTCCATGGTTGTAGATTCTCATATGGTCATACTATTGTTCGAAATGCGAAAAAGTCTCAAAAACAATAAATCAAACCAAATATATATACAGTATATATTAGACTTTTACTGCGTTTTTAACATAATTAGTGCAAAGTCGATTAAATAAATAATCTTCCTATAGATTTAAAATTTTTCAAATGATTGAATCATTAATACCTAGATGTGCTTAGTTGAAATTAAGTTCATATCTCAAATTTAATTACCGTGAAAATGATTCAAAATTCAGTAATCCGAAAAACAACTAGGCCAAAACCAAGACCATCCAACGCCAGATCGGTAATCTGATAATAGCTAAAAATTCTAATGTTTCATGTAAAGATGATGAAAGGTTTGTCAAATAAATATTTTTCCCCTCATTTTTAGGTCAGATCTTCGTAAATGTGGATATCTTACAAAAATCAATGAGTAAAAAGAATCACTGATTTAAATCAAACTCAACAATTTCATAGAATTCGTTCCAATTTAAAGATATTGATCTGTAAATAAATAAATCAATCACCGGACTAGAGGTACTAGGGAGATTCACATCGAAAACGGTAGATTATAGAGAAAGAAATGGAAATGGAACATAGGTTAAGCCAACTGGAGAATACGAAAAAATTGAAAATACCTGAATTTGAATCGTTTGAATAATTTGAGGGCGTTGAATCTCTGTAACTACGTCTCAGATTCGCCATTTTCCAGAGCTTCTTACTTCTTAGAGTAGAGAGAGAGAGAAAGCGTGAAAATTGCTGTGTGTTTGTGTGTGCGCGCGCGCGAGAGATGGCGCAAAATTTGTCCTGCTTAGTTTCAAATTTATTTATCCTAAGAAAAAAACCGCGAAGATCAATGCACAGTCATAATTACAATGTAGGGTTAATTGAAGAAAACCCCTGAAAACATAAGTTGATGTTTTTATTTATTTTTTTAATACTCTAATAATCATAATACTTGGGTCCTCAAATCTCAATGAAGATAAGTATGTACCCTCACCATTTTTATTTTTGTTTTAAAAATATTTCATTAGTCTCCAAATATGTATTTATCTTTTTATTTTTATATGTCTCAAAATAAGTGTTCACTTTTTTATTTTTATTCCTCCCAAAATAAATATTTGTACTACTAGCATTTTTATAATATTATAAATTTATCTTTCTACCTATAAAAACTAAATCATTACATCATTGTGGACCGCTAAGAATAAATTTGATAATTCATTTATTACTAATACAATAAAAATCATTATCCTAAAAAGTTATATTCCAAAGAAGGGACACTTATTTTGGGACCGTGGGAGTCTATCCCACCAAATCTGATTTGGTAATTAGAAATGATATGTCTATTTGTTATTGGTTCACATCAGCAGTAATGATGGAGTACATTCTCACTTGTGAGGACCTATGTTTTTTTTTATTATTGTGTTAGTAACGAATGAATTATCAAATTTACCCATAGTAAGTCTATAGGATATGATTGTTTACTTTTTATAAGTTAAATATAAGAAGGTTAAATTGGTCAGAGTAGTATTATTTATATCAACTCTTAAAAGATAATTGTTTGACTGAACACTATTGATTAATTGGCCGAGTTCGCAACATACAAAAAATGGAAGATCCCACCTCCATATATTTTGCATGCATTATCATTCAAAATTATTCAGCTTAATAATTCACTACAACACATCGACTTTAAAGGCATTTTTAATTGATAATATTACAAAATATAAAACATTGACTTTTCAATTGGGACAATTTTGTTTAGACAACTAAAAATGAAAGGGTAAACCCTTTGTGGGACAAGTAAAAATTTGTCTCTCAATGAATTTTGGGCCCCTAAAGAACTAAGTTTAAACATATAACTCAAACTTTGAAGGGATAAGACATTCGTGGGATGTACGTTGTTGATTTACCAGCAATCTTTCTATAAAGTTCAAGGTGTAAGTCCAAAGTAAGGACGGATCTAGCCTTTTTGAACAGGGTGGGCTAATTTTGGACTGGGTTATCATTACTATTTTTTTTTTTTTTTTGGCTGGGCTTAAAATAGTATGGTAAAAAAATTTTTTTTTTTTTTTTTTTGGTGGGCTAAAGCCCAGCTTCGCCCACCCTTGGTCCAAAGTCGTGAGCTATTGGACAGGATGTCGCAAAACCAAGGGCGTTTAGGAAGTTGAGTTTTATTAGAGTTAAGGGATGTGAGTCTGAGTTAAAATGATGTTATAATTTGCTTTAAATATAGTGGATCGTTTTGCTCGAGTCTACGAAAATTTTCATCCCAGTTGGTCGAATATCTTCCAAGGGTTTCCACACACAAAAACCCAATATAATCACTCAAACTTTATTTAATTTACGTGCATTTTATTTTTGCTTCATGGGTTTGATTTTAATTTTATATCGGTAAAATTAAAATAAGTATAACTTTGATAAAGGAGCAAATAAAATCTACTCACCTCTCCCGACTAATTTTAATATAGACTTCCACATCTATTCCAATGCAGAGAGAGATTTACCAGCAATGACGGAGCATTTATTTTGTTTCCACATATATCCAAACACACGAGGAAATGCTGTATTGGTAGGCAGAAAAGGGATGATGAGACTTTCAAGTTTCAACACTGACTTACCAATATATTTAACAGCTACTGACCGATATATTTCTAGTCAAAATGTCAAATTTAAAGTCTTCTAAAACTGCGCCCGTACATGTTGAATTCTTTGGTATTAACTGTCACTTCTATTTTGAAAATTCACTTTTATTGTGACAAAAATAAAAATAAAAATAAAAATTTATTTGTAAAATATTTGGAGTTTTTAGATAAGGATAAATTACAGGTTAGGTCAAATTTTATATAAATAGACATTTTGTTTTTAGATAACGATAAATTACAGGTTAGGTCAAAAATAAATATCCAAGATTTGATAGGGGTGTAAGGGTAATTTCTCCTAAAATTAAAGAGAATGAAGCTTTTGTATATCACTATTTAGAAAATACGCTTTAGATATTGTATTTTTGGCAAAAAATACACATCACTTACATATTCACTTTGCCCCTTTTAAAGATTTAAACCTTCATCATTCACTTTAGGAGGTCGAAGAGATATCACGATGTCGCAATGCCCTTGTCTTTAGATATTGTGTTGTCAAACAATAATTAGTCATTTACATGCAGCACTTTTACTTTATATTTTAGGAATAAAATAATAAAACCCCACATACTATTTAATGTTAAATTAAAATAGTGATAATTGTTATTTTAAAATTACAAAGTTAACCTTCGAAATGAAAACAAAAACTCCCTAAATTAAGTAGCACAATAAATTTCAACTGGAATGAACACACGAATGTTAGTATTTTAATTTAATATTAAATAGTAAGATCAATTTGTTATTTCACAACTTAATTAACACAAATATAGAGGTAACATAATAAATTTTATTAGTTCTTGAAATCATTTAATTATGTTGAAATTTATATACATAAATTTTTATAATATAAGGAGGTTTTATGATTTTATTTATATTTTATTTTATTTATTTTCTTTTCTACAACTCCACATATAAAAGTGTTTATTATAAACATAACACCGCTAAACACAAGTCTACTTTTAGGTAGTGCCACATTGTGAGGCATTATGACAACAATAGTACTATACTTGTGAGTATTTATATATATTTTTTTCCCGGAAGGTTGAGTATATTTGCCAACATTGCAACGGCTCAGGGAGCGGAGCCGATGTCATGGATGGTGGACCCTACACACCCCTTCTCTGCCGGTGTCAACACACCTATTATAATTTTATCATTAAGGGTTCGTTTGGTTAGCCAAAAATTGATGGTGGAAAGTGAAAGGAAAAGCAAGTGAAGTAAAAGAAAAGAAAATTATGTTTCTATCATGTATTTGGTTAGCATGATTTTTTTTTTAAAGAATTTGTAATAAAATGCTGTTTCGTTAGTTTGGTTAGCAAGAAAGTGAAAAGAAAATAATTTATATACCAAAATTACCCTTATGAATTCAATATTAAGTAAAATACATCATGGAATAAGCATAATAAAAAATATAAATAATTATTTTATGAATAAAAATATATGTGCGTGCATATATATAGAGTCATATTTTAAAGAGTTAGAAAATTGTAACTTAATTAGTACCAAGTAAAATACATCATGCAACAAGCACAATAAAAAATATAAATAATTATTTTATGAATAAAAATATGTGCGTGCATATATATATATATATAGTTCTAATTTAAAGAGTCAAAAAATTTTAACTTGATTAGGAGTCTTGATTTAAAGAGTTATAAAGTTGTAATATAAGTAGGAGTTTTAATTTATCAAAAAAAAGTCATTCCTTTTGTGAGTCTAAAAAGGAGAGAAATAACTGATAAGGGTATAATTAAAAACACATAAAGATACAACTTTCACGGAAAATTAAAATTTTCGCGTCTTTTATAGAGGAAACATTTTAAGAAAAATCAACCAGTTGCAGGAACATTACTTTCCTGAAAACCTTAAGTCACGTGCCATTGACCAATAACAGTGTTTAAGTCGTAGGCTTGGTGGACAACATAATCGAGTGCAAAATTGGTGAGAATATCAAAATCACACAATAAAGGCACGTGGTATTGAGGTTGGATCAAAAGTAGAGGTAAAATTTATACAATAAGACTACTTCTAGGGATTTTTATTTTTATTTTATGAAAAGCAATTTAAATATTGATTTGTCAAACAGTATTTGGTCCTCCGCCTGCAACACCTTTACTTTATATTTTAGGGGTAAAATCATAAAACTTCCCAGATTATCCAAAATATGCATATAACCCTTTGGTACCTTTAACAAATCAAATAATTTTTAAAATAACAAAAATTATCATGTTATTCCATATCATTGCCAACTGGATTGTAAAATGACAAAATTAATTTTATTATTTACTATTAAATTAAAATATTAATAACTATTATTTTAAAATTATAAAGTTTGTTGAGTAATATTTTAATAAAATTAATAAATATATTAAATTATATATTAAGTTACATTATATAAAATATTATTTAATAGAATGATTTATTATATTTATATTTGTTGATGCGTAAATCCTCACGACTCGGAACGACAGCGTTTACCTGCAAAACAAAGGAACGTCACTTCGAATGGCACCGGTGGGGTGCCAGCCAAGGGCCCTCCGACGATCAAGTTAGTACTTGTAATCGTATCATATAATAACTATGTATCTTTTGTCTAGGAATTTTTTCTCATCCCTTTTTTAACGGCTTGGTGCCCTATTTATGGCTGTCGATTGGAACCAATTGGTTCCGTCGATGTCGATGGTTGATCTTATCTTCTGCTTGTGCGAGATCATAGGAGATTTGTTACCAGATTTGTCGGGGATATGAATAATCCTTTTGACCTCCTCCAATTATGATAGGATTATTCTTACCCTGTTGAATCACGTCAGATTTCATTATCCTTGATAATGAAATATAATCAATCTTATTGAGGGTAGGGTAGGTTTATATTTTTCCCTATCAGTTGCCCCCTATTCCCAAGCTTGCACGTCTAGCTTTGGGAATGTAAATTTTTTTTTTTTTTTTTTTTCAACCCGTGTGAACAGTACCCGCGGGTACTATTCATGTGAATAGTAACTCAGGATTTTATTTTTTTTTCCAACCCCTGTAAACAGTACCTGCGGGGTACTATTCATATGAATAGTACCCCGCAGGATAGTAACTCAGGATTTTTTTTTTTTTTTCAACCCCTATGAACAGTACCCGTTGGGTACTATTCCCGCGGGTACTATTCATGTGAATAGTAACTCGAGAATTTTTTTTTTTT